AATAGCAGTTCGATTTGAACAGATGATACATTCTTTGAAAGAATTTGTGCAGGAGTCAGAAATGCTAACGCCAATTTTTGAGAGGTGCGTTTCTTTTGTTCAGTGAAGTATAGACTAGGTAAGACATACTTGGGAAGCTCGTCGTTTCCATGTGCGAGGCGGACAGGCTAAGAATTGTGTCACTTTCGAACAAGCCTAAATCGCGCGCTTTTTTAAAATTTTACACACGGCTTTTGCAAGGCAGCGCCCGCGTTCATTTGTTGTTTCCACGCCCTCTTTGGATATCGTAGCTCACCCCATGAGGATGGTGGACGTGCTAGTTTCGCAACTCAAAAATGCGAGAGAATAGCGGCGCCCGCTCGTGAAGAGTCGGCCACCCCGCCCACCTGGCGACCACTACGCCCAACTTCATTTCTAATGGTTGCCTGATGGTGCGGTTGTTCTGCTACTAACTCTCTCCACGTCGAATGGTGAGAGTGAGGTGATAAGGGAACTCTCGGGAAACCTTTGTTTCCAAAGCATTAGAAACTTTGAAAACCGGTCCAATATCAGAGTGGCAGCGGCATGCCGCATCGCAATAATCTTCAAAATTCTGTCCCGGTAACGAATCAATCAACCAACTTTATTTTTTAGAATAGCATTTTAAGGCGTACTTGATTTGAGCAAACAAAGTTTTCATGTGCAATTTGAAAATTGTATGTAAAACTATTAAAAAGCGCGCGACTTGCTTGTTCCAAGTTTTTTTTTCGCGACTGTAGTAGCCTCTGGGAGGCGCCATGGACCTAAGGGGTGCTCATGGGTCTAGATGTTCAGCGTGCACTGGAATTCTTGCGAAGTTTTACTTTTTTTAGTGTAGTGTTGCCTCTACAATCGCCTACCGGATCATCTAACACATTTGAGAGCCTAAAGCCTCAGTTTATAGCGGAATGTGAAGTTAAAGAGTGTGGGAGTGAAGTTGTACGTGCCTATGTACTTTAGTTGTACGGGAGTATTGGCTCGATGTTCTTTATGCCTCCGCTCCCTATCCTATACGCGAAAAGCAGAACGTAAACGCGCAAACACGGCCATAAGCTATCTGCCGACCATATCCATTGCTGCTTCCGACGTGCTGCCGCTTCTCTCACGCATGGATTTTAGTCACTTAGTTGTCTAAAGGCGATGATATATACTCGAAATCCCTGAGCACGGCTTAGGGCATGGCCACGCGTTACTTGATGATAAAATTGCGGTGCAGGCTCTATGGTGTTCAGTGAGAATTGTCATTTGAGCAATCGTAATCATGTCTACATCTAACACGGAACAACATAGCAGTTGTGTCGAATTGAAGTATTCCCTGAGAAACCCGTCCCATGCCATGCTCAAAAGCCACGCCTACTTCGTCTCAGGGATAAGGAGTGTAATTATGAACATAGAAGTCGCCATCTTAATTTTGAATCCTCATTCAGATGTGATCTCGCAATCGAAAACGAAAAGACTCTGGTGTTCTTCATCGTTGACTGGACTTCTCTTCATGAATCGACATAGGTTTCTCACTATGTATAGGTTGTAGTTCGCTGACCGTACGGTTGGGGCCGGTGTCAGGTCGGATGAGTTTGGCGCGCGTGGTCAAACCCGTTCATCCACCAGTTCGTTAAAGTGCCAAATATAGTATGACTATATCATATTGTGTCGAATTGCCTCGTTTTTCCATCCAATTTTTGTCGCATGCGCGATTCCAACAGCAAAGGCGAGCAGGCGAACGGGAATTTTGACCGGGAGGTGACAGCACTCATACTGACTGAACACGCCCAAACCGCGTCCGCAGCGAACTAGAGTGTATAATCCTCAAAATTGTTGTCTTTTGGAGAATATATGTGCTGGTTTGGAAGTCAACGTCGGCTTATTTCTGGCTGCTCCCTCTCACTTCTAGTTGTTCTCTACCGCTGAATTGCGTAAGTTCGCTGCAGGGGCACCTTGTCGTATTAGACGTAAGTTGCTGCCCATCACTGGAGGAGTAGAGCAGTGATTTAGCTATCGTGGTTAATAATGTATGGCAGAACGGTAACCGCGCTCGGTACCACCACCCTCCAGTTTTGTACTCGTGCACTTTTGGACTGAACGAGTGACAGTCTGCTGGCGGCTGCAGACCATTAGTCTAGAGCGTATGGTCGTGAATCCGGCGAGCATGGATCACATGTTGACTTGCCGGCAGTGGGGGGGTCTTATGTGCCCGCTTGCCGGATTAGTGATACGCGAAGCAGAACGGAATGGAAGCGGCAATTAGTGGAGCACTTCTCTTGCTTTTACTGTTTGCCCTAAAGTGCACTATCTCAGTCGCGATGGAATTTATGACAAATTAGTTCACTGTACATGAAACGTAGTAACAAGTCAGGCTCCTCTAACTACGGCAAGGAAACGAATAGCTAGCCGAAAGGACTGCTTTCCCCCACATTGGGGCCTTATTCTTCAGGCCTATTTTCTTATTTCCAATATTCTCAGAATGAAACATTATTTGCCTTTTATTTCGAAAAATCGACTAGTTGAGCAAAAAAAATCCTTCCAGGGAACAGTGTTCAAAACTGTTGAGTTGTGTTCGACGAACGTTCATATCACCTGAAGACCTGGACGCCTTGAACTCTTATGTGGAAAAGTTTGGAACTTATCAGGTAAGGGAACTTCCAATAAGAACAGGAATCCTACGCTTCCTGGAACAATCAACGAGTTACTGTTTGCAGATAAAAATGGCTTGGAAAGATTACCTACTCGATACCCATTTGTCTGTATGTTGGGATACAAAGCATATTATGGAGAAGTCGCCCCGATGTGGCATGGGCAGATATCAGTGAGTTCAAATTGTTCATAGAAAAACATATTTTTCACCCTTGATAGCCGTTGGAGGGGAGGGAGGCCGCCTTCAAAAGTCTCCTTTGTAGTAGTGAGCTTCTCTAGCACGAAATTCCCTTTCTGTCCGGAGAGATTGGTTTACCCATCCGGAGCTCCCTACACATGGGCTTAGACAAAATCTTCATATCCTCTACGAAGCATGAGCTTTGCACAAAAGTCTGCGCAGTTCGGCGATGGGGGGGGGGGCTTCACTAGTTCCGGTTCACAAGTCTCACTCTGGTGAATTGTGAACTCTTGTGAAGCTGGAGCAAGCTCATCAAGCCATCATGGTAAAACCTGTCAAGTTTAGAAAAGGCTCTCTAGGTGGGCTCGACATGTTCATGGGAAGTAACAAAAAGGCAATGCCCCGCCCCCCCCCCCTTTCTCCACTCCGTCGCCGATCTGCACCCAAACGTCTTTCATATGCTCTTCAATTCTGTATTAACTCTATCATTTGCTATTGCTTTCCAGGCCAAAAACTTCTAAGACGAAACGAAACCATCAAGGAAAATCAATCAGCTGGTCAGTTCCCTTGGAGACACGAACGTCACTGGATGATCATCCTAATAGGGGTGTCGCTAAGGCAGCTCGTCGTCATACTCGGAAATCGTTCTTGGCTCGTGAGCCGAAAGCCACAAATCTCGTGAAAATTGCCTTCAATAGAGGATTATCCAAGATTCGTCAGAAATTCTCCGCAAACTCTCAAAACTAAAGTGCACTTACGAAAATGAAGACTTTTTGTTTGAACTTCTGTTCCGCTCACAAATCCGAGAATACAAAGAGAGTAATAAAGTACACCTATCTGCAATAAGGTTAGTGAGATGTTCTTGTTCTGAAGCTGTGTTTGTGAAGAACGTCTCCTTAACATACTCGTCTCATCTGACGTCGTTCAGTTTTTGAGCCTGTTACGGTCATAGACATTAGCTCTTCGATACCTTCAGAACGCGTTTATACTTCGCGATCAGTCGCTCCTACCATTCAACACGCGCTGAGCGAACGACTGAATCGATCATACTACGTGTTGCATATAAATCTAATACTTGCTACGCAATCTAACCCAGTACAATTAACATTCATTTGATAAAGATTTCGCAGGAGGGGGCGGGGGGGGCGTTCTTCCCTTGTACCTGCTAAGAAGCCCATAAGCACATGCACAAACACATCAGTGCTTTATAGCGCCCATATCTGAGGGCAAAAAAGGGCGTATCAGCGACGGCGGCTTGCTGAGGCTGTAAAAGTGAGTGTTCTACCTCACCACAACTCCTTCTAGTACGCATGGAATGCTTTCAGAACACGTCCTCAACGTAGGGGTGGAGTGATCCGACAGGCAGGCAAGTTGATGGGTGCGCCACGCATTCCACCTGCATTCGGATTTCTCTTCCTCTTCACATCCCCGAAGACGAGCTTCGACAGACCAAAAATTTCACCGAGAAGGTTTTTAGTACGTATAAATTACGTCACCCATACTACACTTCATTACATTCGCTTCTAACCTCCTATCCCGCCCTCAGGCTGTGACAGCTCTGTCGCGGACTTAAAATACGAGCCTTTTCCTTTCGTGCCGGCCAAATACGACCCTATGATGAGGACTCCCCACGGATGCATAACGCT